TAATTGAAAATTTAAATAACCCTGGTATTAACATTACTTTAATACTATTATTAAAGTTTGATTAATAGTTCGGATTAAAGACAATATGAAATTAATTGCTAATTATTTAAGTTGTTCTAATGAATGATTTGATAATATCTGTTAGGATTATTCGTATTTGAAGATAATTGCAAGAAATCTTAAAACTTTAATAATACGATATGTACAAATATAGCGATGCCTATTTTTTACTTTTTGATAATTGGCGGAGGTGCCGCGCATACGAAACAAATTACTTGTTGACAATGATGAATGTATTAATTATTAAATTAAATCGCAGGTGTTTAAATGCGTAATAGAATATATATATATATGTATATATAAACTCTTCCAACGCACTCCTTCTTTTTGCGTTACGTGACATACTTTCTTAATAATAATAAATTATGAATAAAAGATTAATGTTTGTGATGGAATTAAGAAATTAAGATTAGGAATATACATATTTATACAGGGTGCTCCACCTAAGTCTGTTTCGTCTATTTCTTCTATTAATTTAATAAAAAAAAGTATTTATAAAAGTAGTTTGGAATTATATGTTGTATATATAGAAAATATTTTCAGTTATACGGGGTGTCTTCTGTTTAATTTTAGGTCGACATTGTCAACAATTTCCCTCATATATCTGTAGTAGTTTTGGAGATATTCAAATGTTTTTGAAAAAACTTATGATTTCAACTGTTTCAATGAGACCAAATAGCATCTAAACCATATAGCCGGAAATATCGAAGTCTACTTTTGACAATCTTAAAAGACGAATAACTTTTTGTTTTTCGAATGGAAAGAAGCCAAAATGTAAAATTTAGAAGAAATCGAACACCCTGTGTAACTAAAACTACTTTCTGTATATAAACCATATGATTCCAATTCACTTTGATAAAAACATTTTTTTTTATTAAAAGTATAGTAACAGAGTTATGGACGAAACCGCTTTAAGTGGAATACCCTGTATATGTATATTATGTAGTACGTGTTTTGAGATTTTGTGAAGACTTGCGCGGTCACAGTTTCGTAGTACAGCATAAATAAATTTTTTCTATACGTTTTGCTAAAGTTATTACTAATTAATTGACTTTGATTTGTATTTATCTTGCATACTTACGAGATATCCCGGATAACTTCTATTGTATGCAGCTGTTTGGTCATAATTGAAGGTAGAAATAACGCCTTGCAACCCCGTAAAATATTGCAAACAATTTTGGAGAGTGGGGCAGTTTTCGGCTATCTGACAAATTCGGATTCTAAATCGTCTACGCTGCAGTGTGTTGGCTAGGATACTGAATTGTATGGGAGAATCTTTAGAGACTTGCGAAACGTCTACGTATACTAGAAATAAAAAAAAAGAGTCACATTGTCAGTCAGTGGTTATGTTCTTGTAAAACGTTGTATAAATATGCATAAAAAGTTTTTTTTGATGCTTTTAATACACATACAATGTTATAGTTTACGATGTAGCCAGACTGAAAAATCTGGCATTTTCTTTGACAGCTAGGCAAGTAAAAAAATAACCTAACGTAAGCCCTTTAAGGTTGGAATGTATCTGTCAGAATAAATACTTTCATTAAAACCCTCTTGCATGTTTGCAATTGTTTAGTTCCACTTGGAATACAGTAAAATTCGGAATATTTAATTTGTCCATCGTGGATATTGAAAATAAGCTCGTTGGTTAGTTCCTTTCTTTGATTATATAGAGGTTTTAATTGTCGAGAATGTTCTAACATCAGCGGAGATAGATACCTATGTTTTGATTGCGAGACAAAAACGCTTTTCTGTTGTTTCAATTCGCCAATACCTTTGAAACCCCTCAATAAAGAGGGATGAAATTTTGCAAAACTCTAGTCTTTAATGTGAACTGGTGCTAGCGAAACGTTAGGATGTAACTCCAACTGACGAAATCCTTTAGGCCCGAATCAGGACAGCATCAATAATGGAAGTTATGGTCAATAAAAAATAAAACAAAAATGCTTACCGTGCTGGCCAGTATTGAAGCCGCAAAGTTCTGGAATAATGTCGTTCTCATTTTCACCCATTATAACAAATCTTTCGTCAGTACAGGTACCATTTATGGGCCCATTTAACTATGAAAGATAAAAGGAAGAAAGAGGTAACAGGAAGTATATAATTTTGGCTTTTGTCTTGTCATTTACAATATTTTATTTAAAAATGCCAAAAAAAATTAATTTTTTGGAGAACTCAAAAAGCAAATTTAACTGAAAATGAAAATAAGAAATAGAGTACCTACTATGTTGAAAAAGTTAATTATTTGATAGTAATCATAATAATAATAATAAGTTACCTCAAAATCCAAAAAATCAATTCGAAGCATTTTGATGTTACTGGACGCCTTGAAGACGTTCAAATTGCAAGAAAACGCGGGTAATTGTTTAGATAATCTTATAGTGTGGAAGCGCCATCGAAGACGAGGGTCAACGGTGTTATTATTATCACCATTGGATCCACCTGGTGGTAAAATCATTGTGTCATTGGGATAGTAATTTGGATATCCTGGAGATTCGAAGTAGGTACAGTTACGATTTGAGCTTCCACCACAAGTAAATCGAACTAAAAACAACTCTGATATAAATATTAAGATTAGTGAAAAAAGCTGAAAAATTAAGAGCATTGATAGTAAATTTTTTAGCTTGAATGTGTTGAGGTTGATGATAGAATAGAGCTCTCATTTAGATTAAAAAGAAATCCGCTTCATTGGTTTATTTTAACAAAAGGCGAAAGAAGTAGTTTTTCTAAAATATTCACAAAATTATGGATCATAGGGAACAATGATATATAAGGGGTTTGTGCGCAAAAGTTGCTTAATTAAACTCGGTAAAGAACTAAAAAGGTTATTGCAAAAAGACCTGAAAACTGGGCGTTTTTAGGTATTTTGTTATATTTACTGTTTTTGTTTATGATCCATGATTTTTCTAATCTTTCTACTTTATTGTTACAAAAAAATGGTTGAACCCGTCCAAATTTGAACGGACGGGTACCACTGTCGGTGGTACATTTTAATTGTGATGTATCCCCTGCCTAATAATAACCCAAATCTAAACCCTTGGTCCATAGCATTTACCCCCTATTCATAACACTTCATACGTATTAATCAGGCAAATCTTTTTCCTATAATCTAACCTAACCCAACCTAAAATAAGCCCAAAGTCATAGTCATATCACTTCTAAACCATTCTTTGTTTTATGTTTTCTCTACAACGCTTTTTCCATGTTAGTTATCTAATTGTAATTTTAGAAAATAAATTTACGAGTAGATAAATCACAATTTTGTTCAGAAGTACATGAATTTATTATCATCTTAACGAGTCTGGATTTATTTATACGTACATAAATAATAATTTATGTAGGTTATATTATCGCTAATTAAGCAACTCGTGAATTATTTGTAACTCGTCGCAATTTTCATTTGAATGCTTCATATGGTACGTATGTAAATATATATGTATTTACGTATGTTGCATTTCTATAGGGGTAATGTTATTTAAACTGACTAAATTACGTGATACACCGGAAACGGATGAAGATATGTTTGAATTAAATGGTTTACAGGAAGCAGGTATTGAATTTACTTGGTTTCAATTCAGTTTTAATTATGTTCTAATTAATCGATTTTGCTAGCAATTAAATATAATTTATAATTAATTCAATTTTGATCATTACCTAGAGGTCACAATTTAATAGCCAAAAATTTGCTGAATATTATTTTTAATGTTATATTTTTGTTAAAGTTATAAATTTTCAGACTCTGAAAAAACCCGTGCCCGGGGTATTTGCCCCTTTGGTTCCCCTTCTCGACGGTTTCTGACCGTATAGATATAATTTTTGCATAAAAATGGAACGAGTGCATTATGTATGTGAGAACATCACCTGGAAATGCTACATTTGACACAATTATATGCATTGAATAGCAACTTTAAAACTTGTTTTGAATTATCGTCAGTGAGAATGAAAAAATGATCTTGTTAACCTTCTAGTTACTGCTCAGCTACCACTAAAAAAAAAAGGCAGTATTCTCTTTGCATTTTTGTGGCTTCTTTCAGCACTGAATTGTATTAGCAAAACGAAACTTACAAACACAACAAACCCCATGTCCTTTCGCACATGATCCTCCAGATTCACCCCCATGTTCATCACATTCGGATTTCAAAAGACATACCCCTTCGTATAGCGTTCCGGAAACAGTAATCTTACAGATTTCGTTAGGAAACTTGACAACGGTCACCAAATTCAAAAATTTCTTAGCATAATTATAAGTTTTATTTTTAAGAGTTGTCAAAACGCCATAATCCAGTAAACCACCACTTGAATTGTGCCCAAAATTTTGTACATCCACAAACTTGTATCGTCTTCTGAATTCTGGATCTCCATGATCTGATTGTGGAAGTACATGAATTACCTGGGAGGTGTTTACGAATTTGGATGTCGATTTTGGGAATTCGTCTTGTATGACGTTGTGGTACACGAAATTGTTTTTTGTTGATGATGTTGTGGGATGATGGTGTAACATTTTAAGGTTTTTGGACCGGTCCCAGGATGAACTGATGTCACCTTTGGGAAAATGGTTTGGTTTGTTGTTGTAGGTTTTGGGATACATGTAATTATTTCTGTCTTCTCTTGGTAACTCTGTTGTAAAACTTTCGTAAACGATTTTTTCAGGAAAATGGTCAGATCTTCTTACAGGAATCGTGTTACTTGTGTGAATATACACATAGTTATTTGGGCTATTGTCCAAATCATTTCTGTCCAGTTTTTCTACTATTCCTCGTTTTATGAGCTGCCCGAATTTCTGCACTTTTGTGCGGTCAATCGTGGTAGTTTCATTCAAATTAGTCTTGAACTGTTTCTTTTTCCAGTGGCATCTATTTTTGGACCATTTTCTATTTTTATCCTTTCCTGGTTTTGTATTTTTGGAATTAGGCGTATTCAGCATTGAACTACTATCTAGAAATATCTTTCTATGACTCTTTGATTCTGGCAGCGTTGTAGAACAATTATTTATATTTTCATTGAGGACTATAATTGTATTTGATTGATGATTCTTCGTATATGTTGGTAACTTTTGATATCTTTTTCTTGTGTCGTTTGATTGCGTGACGTACGGATTTAATAATAGCAAAGAAAAATAAAAATAGATCTTGCGAGTATCCATTTCATAAAAAAAAAATGTTAATAATCGTAATACGTATAACTTTTGTTTTATTCTGTATGCACCTTCGTGAGATACTGATGACTAAAGAATATGATTTGTAAAATAGCTGCACAAACAAACGGAGCAAGAAAAATTATTTTTATTTTATCTGGTCTGTTAATTTGTATAATTATTTGGACTAATTTTTTCGCACGATCTTTAACATAAAAATTCACCAAAGCATGATCTTATGTACAGTTGTTTTCAACAAATGTACAGGTTGTGACCTTAATATTGTGGATCCCTACCGGGGCAAACTTTTTTGAGTAAATACTATTTTTAATTCTACAAATACTGTGTGTTCCGAACCACAAATGGAAATAAATTAGTCAGAAATTAATAAAAGTGGAACATAAACGTAATTGTTACGGTTCTGTACGTTCGAATTAAACACGGAACCCTTATCGTATCACTCGTGTGTCTGTCACAGTCAGTTTGCCTCGAATCTACTAGCCTAATTAAGTTGAATTTCTGTAGTATACTGCTACTTTTAATAGAATTGAAAAATGTTCAAAAAGGCCCATAAGGATATCGAACTGGATCCACGACATAGCTAATTCTACGTCATATCACGTAGGAGTATACACTATAGATGGCGTTTACCACGATGTTTGTAGTAATTCAGAAACTGTATTGATCAAACCAAAAGATCGTTGCGTATTCATAAATATGTATATGATCACAAAAACATGCCTGGTCAATATTAGAACTGACTAAAGAGAAATGTTAAAACTACTGTTTTTATAGACAGATCGAATTTTAATCCAAGTCGGGTTTTTACGGTAACATACGTAGGTATAGGTATAATTCGAACAGATATCATAAAGAAATCGAATAATAAGCATTGTATTGTTTCTGTTTTTCTTTATGTAAGTTGTAAGCGTATTGTATTCCACAACGACTTCCATAATTATCGAAAACGACCAGTTTGCTATAGATATCCTTCTTGCAGGCATCTGTTCGTTCACAATTTGAAATATTCATGGGCCAATTGCGTGGGCAATAGAGGGTGGAAGTTAGGAACTTAGACGTTTAAAAAATTTAAGAATGACTTTTTAACTTTTTATAGATTAATTAATAACCCTTAAACCCACAATTACATTTCCAACAAAACGGGTCATCGATGCTGTAATTTATTGCGATGTTCCTAACACTATTATAATTTATATCCCTATTTACTGTGATTTAAAAGTCTTGTAGAGGTTGATATAGCAATATTAGCATCTAGCAAGGACGACCTATAGATAGCTTTAAATAAAATGGAAGCGGTACGTGTCCAAACAGTCTTAGGATTGACAACTTTATGATGATGAGAGGTTTCTCATTAACTCGAATATCTTCGTTTCTCTAAATTAGAGATGATTCGGGTATCCGGTTTGGACCCGGCAACCGGTGGTCCGGCGCCCTTTTTAGGATCCGGCCGGGTACCTGATAATAACTCTGGGTACGTAGAAGCACCGGCTTATTCTACCAGAGAAAAAAGTAACACTAATAATTTAATAAGTATAACAAAAACGTATCTAATGGAAATTGATAATTAAGATTATACAGGAATAGATCGTTTGTCCTAATTTGTATTATTTATTTATTGATTACTATGTTAAAGTATTTGCTATTTCAATTATATACAGTTCTTGTGCTTGTTAGTATATCAGATTTTGATTAATGATAACTTATTTGTATGATTTTGTCACCTTGCAGACGTTTAGTGTTTGTAAACATTATAGGTGCATTTCAACAGTTCCAATTCAACCCTCTCATTGAAAATAAGTCAACCAAAGATTAAAATTACACAAAATTATAGTGGCTATCCACAAAATCACTATCAAGTGCATATCTAATCTAAATCTAAAATTTAGATTAATTATATTTTGTAAAATAAAATAAAATTTCTGTTTTTTAAAAATGTAATTTTAATTTTAATGTTTATAAACACATTTATTTCACTGCGTTCTACTATAAAACGTTGAAATTTGTTTTTCACTTCTTTTTTTATACTTAGTTTTCGGAGTGCATTTATGTCATCAACTGCGTTTTAAATTTAAACAAACATGGTTGTATGTGTGTATAGATAGATACATATATAATTATATATTTTATTTTTAGATAGGTACGATAATAGTGACTGTTACATATTATGGTTTTTGGTGGGGAAGATACGCTGTATAGATAGTGATAATTCAAAAATTAGTAAGTTGTGGTTTTTCAAAAACCTAAGGTCGGTCGATTAGTGTTAAAATGTAAAGTTTTCGTCTTTAAAAAAGTTCATCAAAACCGAACTAGGCCAAGGTAAAATTAAAGATGAGTGTGTTACCTAATAATAAACGCACATATAAAAAACATTTCATTTATCATATGTACATGAAATTCATTTTGCAATGATGCTCATTATTGATTTGTTATTGAGTAACTGTTGATTAAATTTAAGCATTTCATATTTGAACAGCTTGCACAATAATAACGAGAATAACTGGATGTGTAATTAATATATATTTAATTAATTAATTATTAGTGATTTTAGTTGCCCCTGTTGTTCATATTTTTTTATTTATAACTAAAAGTCTAATTTTGTCTAATTTTTGGGAATTGAGTTACCTATAATCATCTTAGACTGCATTTAATATGTTTGGGCATGCATATGGATAAATTACAAAACTTTTAGTAATAGAAACAATATTAGAAAGTATTTTTTGGGTTAGAATATGTTATAACAAATTGCTTTTTTAATCTGTTCTCAAATAAGTGCATTGTCCCGTATTAATTATTATTTTGAATTAAATTATCGTAGGTGTTACATACAGGATGTTCTAATAATTTCTTTCTATATTGTTTTCATTTTTGTAAAAAAAGTATATTGTGGGCATCGATTTGCCGCTTCACTATGATGACAATTTGATCTTGAACTTCGTTCAGTATCGTTTAGCGTCGGCGTCCGACGCACATCATAAGATCAGCGACGCCAGCGTCGATTGGTTGGACAGGAACATGCCACATGGCCCATTTACCGCTTTTCTTTCTGTTGTTTCATTGATTACATTGTTGTATATGTTATGTTATTAAAACATCATGTATTATTATTTGCTTTTCGTAATTACAAAAACAAACAAACAACAGCTGCAAAAATCCGCTGTATTATTTCTTGATTGTCCTCACTTATAAGATCAAGAAAACGAATTGAGTAAATTCTTGATTATTAGGTCATAGGTGCATGCATTCTTTTAAAAAAAATTCTCGGTTTGGTCAATTTTTATTTTTGATTGTGTATTTATTAAACTAATTTTCCTGTGAATCAAGAAGATCGGAAATTTTGGCAGTCCTTAGGGTGGGCCAAGGAACATGCTTCGAAAGTTTTGACCGACTTTCTGACCACCCTGAAAATTAACCCGCTATAACGTAAAGTTTAAAATCGTAAACATAATTGGAAGCAGCTGACAGGTCCTATAAATTTTTCGTGAAAAACAAAGACTGAAGCATTTTGTTTTAAATGCATACTGGGAGGTTTTTCTCATGTAGGAAAAGCCGGAACTGACGACAGGCGTTAATATGGACCATTGGTGGAAACCAAGCATATACTGGATCAATGTACCAAGATTAACGTTTCGCTAAATTTTAGTGTAGTAGTGAGTAACTAAGTACAGGTTTGTGAGTACTGGATTAATGTTTGGCCAATTTTCAAGTACGAAGGTTCAGTAGGTACATTAACGTTTCGCCAAGTTATGTCCCATAATGGGCAACACAATTTTGACCAATTAGTACCATGGAAAACATGAACCAAGTTCCAAATGCCGAGGTTATACATAGATATACATAATAAATTGAGTAATATTTAATAAAATACAAATCTCTTATAAATACATTTTATGACTAATAACTAGGTCATCGATGCTGTAATTTATTGCGATGTTCCTAACACTATTATAATTTATATCCCTATTTACTGTGATTTAAAAGTCTTGTAGAGGTTGATATAGCAATATTAGCATCTAGCAAGGACGACCTATAGATAGCTTTAAATAAAATGGAAGCGGTACGTGTCCAAACAGTCTTAGGATTGACAACTTTATGATGATGAGAGGTTTCTCATTAACTCGAATATCTTCGTTTCTCTAAATTAGAGATGATTCGGGTATCCGGTTTGGACCCGGCAACCGGTGGTCCGGCGCCCTTTTTAGGATCCGGCCGGGTACCTGATAATAACTCTGGGTACGTAGAAGCACCGGCTTATTCTACCAGAGAAAAAAGTAACACTAATAATTTAATAAGTATAACAAAAACGTATCTAATGGAAATTGATAATTAAGATTATACAGGAATAGATCGTTTGTCCTAATTTGTATTATTTATTTATTGATTACTATGTTAAAGTATTTGCTATTTCAATTATATACAGTTCTTGTGCTTGTTAGTATATCAGATTTTGATTAATGATAACTTATTTGTATGATTTTGTCACCTTGCAGACGTTTAGTGTTTGTAAACATTATAGGTGCATTTCAACAGTTCCAATTCAACCCTCTCATTGAAAATAAGTCAACCAAAGATTAAAATTACACAAAATTATAGTGGCTATCCACAAAATCACTATCAAGTGCATATCTAATCTAAATCTAAAATTTAGATTAATTATATTTTGTAAAATAAAATAAAATTTCTGTTTTTCAGACTCTGAAAAA